GTTTCGGACCCTGAAAATTACCCCGCCTTCCCCACATGATTTCCTTTCTTAGCTCTTTTTGTGCAAAAATATTTGCTGATAAGCAAACCTACAACAACAATTCAAAAGTACCTCGTAATTTTAGTTGAAGTTATTCGAAAAAAGTAATTTAAGTAAAGATTCTAATTATTGACCTTAAAATGTAATTGAAACTACTCAGAAAAGTAGTTAAATTACAGTAACTTTAGTAGAGTAGTGGCACTAAATACAGGTCTGACTTAAACCTCCAATCAAATATTTCTCATTTATATAGGCAGTGATTAATACACAGGCCCATGACACACCCCCCCCCCCCCCCCCCCCCCCAGGTGCCTATACTTTGTCTCATCCTACGATGGACTAAAGGCCAAAGCCACAGGCCGCCAGGTCCAATCACGTTCCACACTATACTATGACACGCTTAGCATTGATTAGGGGTGGACGAATAATGCTCGAATCCAAAAGCGCCACATCATTTCTGTAGCTTCGACGCTGCAAAGAGCCTATATGTCGTGGCTTTCTTTGCGATGTAAAATTGTTGAGTCACTCAGTGCTCTTCGATTCGAACCACTGTCCACCCGTCCCCCTCATCAGTGTTCCGGGACGCGGGCACCGATTCGTGCATCGAAGGGAAATACCGCACAATATCAAAGTGGCTCGTGATTGGATCTGGCGGTCCGTAGCTTTTGCCTTTAGTCCATCGTAGGGTGAGACGAAGTATGGGCAAAGTATGGAAATAAGTATTACACTGGTCCCCCAGGAATCTCCCGGAACTTGTTACCACCGGCCACCTCCCCCTTCCCCCGAGTGAAGATTCTTCATAAACCCCCGCGTCAACTACTTAAATCCTGCTCTGTGCTCTGCGGGGAGCACCAATAAAGGCAAGTTGAAATCGACGCATTGAAGCGCGAATTTACGTCTAAGAAAATTGGACACGGTCTTGAGATTCCCCAATCTCCGTTGTTAGGGACACCGAAAACTTGGAAAAACGGCCCTACACCAATAAGAAAACAAAACGAGATAAGTACAACACGAGAGGGTTAGTAACAATATCCATCACAAGGAAGGTAACTTGAAGCAGGGGACGGACAACAATGACTTCCAGAAATTCACCGGGTTCAAACTCCGATGTCGATTGCTTGCGACAAGACATAAGAGCTCGCGTGAACGAATTTAGTATACAAAACGAGCGTGTTAGTAACAATATCCACCTTATGGAAGGTAACACGGAGAAGGGGACGGACAACAATGACTTCCTTGTTGTTGTTGTCGTCATTGTTATCGGTCCCCCTCTCCGCGTTACCTTCCTTATGGTGAAAAACGAGATAAGATGCCTGGTTCCAAAGGAAGAAGCATCGCAGGCCGTACATTGGAGGCGGCGTTCCGGGCAGACTTCTACGATACTCGTGAAAGTAATCAAATTATTTGTAATCAGTTACTTTTTGAAGTAATTTTGTAATTATTTGATTACGTTTATTATAAGGTAACCACCGGAGTATTCTAACTACTTTTGGAAGTACAAAAATCACTTGTACCGTTGCTTTTTTTTTTTTTCTATCCTTTTCCTAAAGTCGCCCTTTGCTTGTTTCCTACTAAGGAGAGAGAGAGAGAATTAGCATTCATTGAAAAAAAAAAAACGGCAATGTCAGCCAGCGCTTTGTGCCGGCTTGCTACGCTGTGCCCTACTAAGTAATCCTCAAACCAAGTCTCGGAGAGGAGGTTGGTTTACCCAAAATGGTAGATTAAGAAGAGAAGTAGCTCAAACTTCAGTGATTCTACTCCGACAATGGACAGCAGGAATGACCCGTCTTTAAAACCGGCAGGAAAGTCTGTATTTTTGAAAATCGGAAGTAATCGGAAAAGTATGGTTGCTCTTTCAAATAACCGCCAATTACTTGTCTTCTCGAGTAATTAAGGAATAGAATAGAATACTTTTTTTAACCAAGAAGAGTCGTATTTGTAATCGGTTACTTGTTTTCGAGTAACTTGTACAAGACTTGCTCCAGGTCAACACAATATAAAGCTGCACAGAGAATTTTTTTCTTGTGAAACTTTTTTAATTAGTTATTTAAGTGCAGTTCTGATTTGATGTTTATCCATTTTTCCCGATTTCGATAAGACCCACTTGCGGGTTAATGTTCGTGGTCTATCAGCGTCTATCGAAAACACGGAACACTGAATATGACCCACCTACATCTACGTTTTCAGCCCTTATCGAAGCCGGTGGAAATTAGAACGGAACTCATGATATTCATTTGCGTCGTGTTTGCCAAACTTCCGAGGCAGTATTCCTCTCTGCAACAGACAGATAAATGATAAAATCATAAAGTATCGAGATAAATTCCCGTTTACAGCAAACAGGACCAGGGAGTTTGAGATAAGTAAATCGCAACCCGCTAACAAACATTTCTTTCTTTTTTTTTCTTTTTTTTTACATTGCTTGTACTATGTCATTATATCATTATGTCATTTTATCATTATCTGGTGTGCCCCAGGGCTCTAACCTTGGGCCGTTGTTATTTTTAGTGTTCATCAACGACTTGCCGTCGCAGGTGCTGCACTCCAAAGCATTATTGTACGCAGATGACTTGAAGCTGTTCAGGAGGGTAGAGGATGTAAAGGATTGTCTGTTGTTACAAAACGACGTATGTTTAATTGAGCAGTGGCGCATAACAAATAGACTACAGCTTAATCTCAAGAAGACTTCAGTCATGTCAATCAGCAGGAAACATGAGAGCATAGTGTTCAGCTACAACCTTTCCGGAGGGCACATAAAGCGTGTGTCTCTTGTACGGGATCTTGGTGTTCAAGTGGACTCCAGGCTGTTTTTTCATCAACATGTGTCACAGATAGTTAATCAAGGCCTGCGATGTCTTGGTGCGATGTCACGGATAACTAGAAAATTTAGAAGCCCTCATTGTGTTCTCTCTTTATATTGTTCACTTGTCCGGCCGCGTTTAGAGTTCGCATCCGTAATATGGAACTCTGTTTCTCTCGGCTACAGCAATGTAATCGAAGAGGTACAGCGGAAATTTATTCGTACTGTGTACGATAGGCACATTGGTCGTCGGCGTTTTTACAGCTATAGCTCGGTATTAAGCGCGATCCAAACCAACGCTTCTTTTTGCGCCTGTAGGTCGTGCGGCTGCGGATGTGACGTATTTTCGTGACGTCGCGCCTCTTCTTCGCTCCTTCCGGGCGCGCACAAAAAAGTTGGATGATTTCAACTTCTTCTCAACGCGCACAAAAACGCGCGGTGACGTAGTAGGGCGCTCCTGTGTCCCGGCCAATCGGTGGAGGGCAAGCTAGTTCCGGCTCCGCGTTTCTCGCCGTCTGGCTGCCCTCTCCTCCCCCCCCCCCCCCCCCCCTTTTATTCTCTTCCAACATGACAACGCGATCTCTCTCTCTCTCTTTCTCTCGCCGTCTGGCAGGCCAGTCTGTCGCAGTTGCACTTTGCTTGTGCGCTCGTGCCGAAGTTTCGCCCGTCCAAACCAAAGCGCACGGTTCTGACTCAGAAAGCGCGCGCCCGGAAACAGCAAAAACGCCACGAAATGCGTCACATCCGCAGCCGCACGACCTACAGGCGCAAAAAGAAGCGTTGGTTTGGATCGCGCTTTAGCAGACATAGGCCTCCAGTCTCTTCACGACAGGAGGCTTGCACATGATATGAACTTTTTGAGAAAAGTTGTGCATGGCACTCTTGATTGCGACGAGTTGTTGTCATCATTGTGCTTCCGTGTCCCATCTGGGAAGGCGTGTAAATGTATTCACACATTTTATACAGATATTCATTCAAAGTGTGCAATGACTCGGTTACAAGATACATACAATTCAATGTTTTTACAAGATGACATATTCACTTGATTTTATCTTAGTGTGCCCGTGGCAACCACTTTTATTTTTAACTAACCAGGATTTGATGACGCGTCAGACTGATTTCTATTGTGCTCCTCGGCAACCACACTGTCCTATGTAATACCCCTTTTTATTGTTAACGCCACTGTGCGAAACATGACAAAGTGTACTGTCCTGTAGGCCTCACGGCTGTTGACCGGCACTAAATAAACTATCTATCTATCTATGACAGATATGAAAATATTGCCCTAGAAGGGTGTCCGCTTACATATTTGGCCGTAAAAATGACATTTCTATTGAATGTTTATATATACCTCGGGTTTTTTCCCCAATTCAAATATTTGCTTCCGTCCAGATGTAAGCTCTTTTGTTAGACCGTTGTCGGAAACTTGGCTCTGTATGTCGACCGGGGCCCGATTACTCTCGATGCCAAACTCGATTAGCGGAAAAAGGCGAACAATAGATCGTTTTCAAAAGTTAATCAAGCAACATTTGCAACCGCCACTTTGTTGGGAACGAAGCCAGTGATTGGATCCGAGTCCTCGCCGAACGATGACGTCACACTCGTGTCCAATACGCTGAGCTATAAGTTCAAGCCGAAGGCCGACGTCACCTTCGTGTGCAGTATGCACCCAAACAATGGCGAACTCGGGTAATTGTCGCATTTGCTACTAGGTGGCGCACCCTTTTGAAAAGGGTTAGGGTGCCTAGATGTCTGTCTGTCTCAGGGTGAAGACATCCATTGTTGTCCGGAATGTACCAGCGCGTGACGCTCTCGCGCACTCGGTGCGTGACTTGGGCGGTAAGATGGCGTCTATGCATCAGCCAAAGCTACGCGCTCGAGCTGAGTGACACCGGATTGCGCGCACTTCAAAATGCATAAAAAAACGATTGGGCGGAAAAATGGCTGAGATGTCACCACTCAAGCAAAAGCGCGCGTGTGTATGCAGGCACTCTAAAAAGGGTCTCTTTTAAACTTCGAAGCGCGCCTGCTTGGAGGTGTCGATCGATCTTTGCGAAAGCGGTTTGCTGAACCTTCTTATTCACAAATATGAGTTCACCTATTATCTCCGAAGGTAATTATACAATAACCTGTGCGAAAAACTACTCGACAACAGTGTAATGAAATGACCACGAAATTACTTCAAAACGTATTCATCGTTAGGAATGATGCGACCACTGGTAAGTGACTTGGAAGCACCGGCGGCAGAAACCATCGGTGTCCAACAAGATATGGCGGCACGTACGTCATTTGAACGAGACCACTTTAGAGAAAAATGTGTAACCCATTGACGTCACGCCGCTACAGCGGCGCTGCTATCACCAGACACTTCAGGCGAATCTGGTTTCTGCGCAAGCGCTGTGCGGGCGAACGCGGGCTTGATTGTAAACAGCGCATTGGCGTTTTAGCCCAAAAGCCGACTTTTGGCGTGTCAACGCTTGCTTAGACCACAAATTGAGAAGAATACGATGTTAATTGTTTTTTTCTTATGTGTGTGTGTGTGTGTGTGTGTGTGTGTGTGTGTGTGTGTGTGTGTGTGTGTGTGTGTGTGTGTGTGTGTGTGTGTGTGTGTGTGTGTGTGTGTGTGTGTGTGTGTGTGTGTGTGTGTGTGTGTGTGTGTGTGTGTGTGTGTGTGTGTGTGTGTGTGTGTGTGTGTGTGTGTGTGTGTGTGTGTGTGTGTGTGTGTGTGTGTGTGTGTGTGTGTGTGTGTGTGTGTGTGTGTGTGTGTGTGTGTGTGTGTGTGTGTGTGTGTGTGTGTGTGTGTGTGTGTGTGTGTGTGTGTGTGTGTGTGTGTGTGTGTGTGTGTGTGTGTGTGTGTGTGTGTGTGTGTGTGTGTGTGTGTGTGTGTGTGTGTGTGTGTGTGTGTGTGTGTGTGTGTGTGTGTGTGTGTGTGTGTGTGTGTGTGTGTGTGTGTGTGTGTGTGTGTGTGTGTGTGTGTGTGTGTGTGTGTGTGTGTGTGTGTGTGTGTGTGTGTGTGTGTGTGTGTGTGTGTGTGTGTGTGTGTGTGTGTGTGTGTGTGTGTGTGTGTGTGTGTGTGTGTGTGTGTGTGTGTGTGTGTGTGTGTGTGTGTGTGTGTCATTTATCAAATGGAACCGAAAGCGAATCCGTGTTTGTGCTGCGGGACTGGAGGGACGAGTTGAAAGCTGATCCGGCGGAGGGTGTCTGTGTCGGTGTTCACGAAGTAAACTACGTTCAAGGTTGTACCACTCCCCTCTTTTGCTGATCGGTACTCCAAACAACGTCACCTCTTGTCGATGGCTTCCGTTGCCGAGTGCCACGACGTCTATCGCGGTTGCAGTTTTGTTGCTCCATTCTATTTCCTTCCCACCTTTAGAGTTGTTGGGTATCTGCTAGTCGTGGTTTCAAAGTAGATAAAACAGCTGGCTACAGGACGTTCTTACCTTGTGGCCCGTAAGTAACTCGGCGGGACACTATCTATGGCCCAATGGTGTTGTTGCACGATAGGACTGCAAGGCGGTGTAGCTGTCGGACTCCTTTTTGAGGCTGGTGCCCTCCGAGTTGTTAATAACTAAGAACACTATCTTGCATGCTATGAACATCAGAGATGAGGTCTAAACAATATTAGGCGAACTCGACAAATAATTCTTTGATAACCCAAGGCAACGCCGTGCCACAGCACCCGATTTGCTGGTGAATGCGGGTATCCCTCCCAGTGATTAAAATAGCTGCAAGAGAGATTCTGAGGTCACGTGACTTAGAATAATAATTTGGGTGTGTAGATATTTATACAGCGAATTGGGTTTTGGGGATATTTATACAGGTGGTCAGCCATTAAAGTTGCGACGAGTCACACGCTGTAGATGAGCAATTTAGCCAGTGCAGTACAACCACTAGCCTGGGGTCTTTAACGTGCACCACGCAGTAGTGACACACGACCGCACGCCGGTACGATGCTCATCCAGATCGAAACGGGCAAAGGTGGGACTCGAACCCAGGATCCCTGGGTTCCGCAGCGCGAGCTTTCGCTCCACGCCTGTCGAGCTGGCTGTGCGCTTTGGCCCACTCGGCCACCGATCCCCCCATTTATACAGGGTGTAGTTGGTCAGCCATTTCAGAGTTGCGTCGAGTCACTCGCTGTAGATGATCAATTTAGCCAGTGCTGTACAGCCCCTAGCTTGGGGTCTTTAACGTGCACCACTTAGTAGTGATACACGATCGCACGCCGGTACGATGCTTCATGCATATCGAAACGAGCAGGGGTGGGGAATGAACCCAGGATCCCTGGTTTCTGCAGCGCGAGCTTTCGTTCCACGTGCTCCGAGCGGCTGTGCGCTAGCCCACCCGGCCACCGATCCCCCTCACGTGACCTAGAACCCCTCATTGTGTTGGCGTTTTTCTTGCAAGTTGCGTCTAATTTGGTCTAATGCGCCAGTGCACGAGGCCCGTGCCTCGAGCTGCCCTTGGAAGCAAATGGCGGCGGAGCACTAAAATGAGCGGCCCTTGGAAGCGAGTGTGTGTGTGTGTGTGTGTGGGGGGGGGGGGGGGGGGGGGGGATCGGTGACTGAGTGGGCTAGCGCACACCAGCTCGGAGCACGTGGAGCGAAAGCTCGCACTGCAGAACCCAGGATCCTGGGCTCAATCCCCTCCCCTGCCCGTTTCGATCTGGATGAGCATTGTACCGGCGTGCGGTCGTGTGTCACTACTGCGTGATGCACGTTAAAGACCCCAGGCTAGCGGTTGTACTGCACTGGCGAAATTGCTCATCTACAGCTGGGAGACTCGTCGCCCCTTGAGGCAGACCAAGTTCTAGGCTGTATAAACGTACAAACAACCGAATTTTTTTAAGCGAATGGCGGCGGAGCACCTGCTCGTGGCACGTGTCTTGCGCGTTTCCACAAAAATGGTTGGCAGTACTTGCAAGCGTGAATTTTATCAAGAAACTTTAGCTAAACCCCGTGGTCCGTGGCTCCGGCAGGTAGGGTGACTGTCTCAAGCTAGGGCTAGCAGACAATACATCTTGAGTTAGCAGACCTCACTCTCAGGCAATGTAGCAGTGATGCTTCTCTTGGAAGCTTGCCGGCACCGCGAGCTTCCAAGCTCGGAGCTTGCAATCCCCCATGCTTCGAGCTGGTCTGAGCTCGGAGATATTGTGCACAGTTGACAAGTACAGGGTGTCACAAAAGAAAATTTACACGGTCTTTTTTACCGCAAAAATAAACTAGGCATCGCTGAACACTCATTCTCCGCCCAAAGGTAGAGCTAGAGGTCACAACCAGATGCCAACGTTTCAGCCCGATCCGATAACCTAATCAAAAGTTATAAGTGATTTTCTGAAAATTTCAATGGGAAAATGGCGGCCGACGGAGTTTTCAAACACATGGGGCTCTATGGCACCAGAAACCGAAAACGGGTAAAAATGGGCTCCATTTTCCCATTCAAATTTTCAGAAAATCACTTATAACTTTCGATTAAGTTATCGGATCGGGCTGAAACTTTGGCATCTGGTTGTGACCTCTAGCTCTACCTTTCGGCGGAAAATGAGCGTTCGGCGATGCCTAGTTTATTTTTGCGGTAAAAAAGACCGTGTAAATTTTCTTTTGTGACACCCTGTATGTGACTTGAGTTGATGGGCAACTAAGCCGGGGTTACACCGCTTATATACCATACAAAAGACAGTCTGCATACAGATTTGAACGCGAGTCACTGCGAGATTCGTGCCTCGAGTGCCGCATGGCAATGAGTTAAAGGAGAAAGCTGGGCACGCGGCATTCGAACCACGAATATTGCGGGGACTCGTTTTTGCAGACTGCCTTTTGAATAATCTACGATGTAGCAGTGTGACCCAGGGCGTACCCCGGCCGGCTCTAGCAGCAAGTGGAGCGAAATCTCGCACTGCAGAACTCAGGGATTCTAGCTTCAATCCAAATCCAAACTAAAACTAAAACTCTTTATTTCTCTCCGTTTGAAGAGGGGAGACAGAGAAAAAAACAACTCAGTTGTTGCTGGACGAGCCTCTACCTCCCCACAGCAGCAAAAGAGGACAGCATGTACATATACATAATGATTTTCACAAGCATACTTATAATGCAGAAATAAACAGCATTAGGTGGGGGTAGGGGAGGCGGGGGAGAAAGGTAATCGATTTACCTAAGTTTTCAAATTTTAGGGGCACTCTCTCTATAACATGGAGCGTACAATTTTTAGGGATTCACTCAAAACTTCTACATTCAATTCAGTCAGGCGATTTAAAAAACGAGGTACTGTATATTTCAACATCTGATTACCGCAGTTCGTTCTGGAGTTCGGTACTAACCATGTGTCTACAGACCGAGTTTAATAGGCAAGCTCTCTTATCCTAAGGTTGACAATTTACATGAATACATTTTCTTTTTTGGCAAAAATACCTTTTTAATGCTAGAAAAAGTTTACAATAATACTGATTAGGAAACTGTACAATATTCAATCTACTAAATAATAGACTAGTGGGACTGTCATACGCAGTATTACATATAATGTGAACAGCTTTTTTTTTTTTTTTTTGTAGTATGCATCAGTTTAATGTTTGTAGCGGTCGTAATCCAGTAAAGGAGGGAATCGTATATAAGAAGCATAACCGAAATTGGCATGATCGGGCGATATTTGTACACTGTACGTACAACTCTTGATAGTCTTTTACATGTCGGTTGTACAGCCTCGTTCCATGACATGTATTGAGTAAATATAATTCCCCGAACCTTTACGCTTTCAACTATATCTATGCAGTGTGTTCCAAGAGAAAGAATAGACGTATAGAAACCGTTTATATTTCGTGATCTAGATAAAACGCCCTTTGTTTTACTGCCATTCATTTTAAGGAATTAGAATTTGTCCAGGCATTTAACTTTTCCAAAAATTATTTGCGGTACTTATTATCTGATCAGTATCATCACCTAAAAGAATATACTGGCATCATCAGCGTAAATAATTAGACTTACATTGTTATCAATTATTACGATGTCATTGATGTATAGATTAAAAAGAAGTGACGTCCCAGTATGCTCCCTTGCGGCACGCCGGCAGTTTGTTGCCTAAGATCCAATTATTTTTTTTTATTTATTTGTACGTACTAGTATCGATAACGAAGATAACTTCTAATATCTAGAGCAACGCTACGAAGACCATAAATATGCAGTTTTTGAAGTAGTGTCATGATTTATCCGGTCAAACGCCTTTGAAATCT